ATCAAACTGCAAGATGAAAATAAAACATTGTCCACAAGATTCGAAAGCAATGACCAAGACATGTTTAGAGAAACTCTTCAGAATTTATCACATGTCATTCGAGAGAAAGACATTGAATCAGATACACTAAGCCAGAAATGTCAGACTTTATTGGCAGTTTTACGCACATCCAGCGCCGGTAATGAGGTTGGAGGTGTTAACGGTCATCAATTTGAGGAGCTCTTACAGGAACGTGACAAGTTAAAATAGCAAGTGAAGAGAATGGAGGAGTGGAAACAGCAGGTGATGACCACATTACAAAACATGCAACATGAGTCCGCCCAGCTTCAGGAAGAACTTCACCTACTTCAGGTACAAGTTTTGGTTGACGGTGATAATAATTCTAAATTACAAGTGGACTATACTGGCCTGATCCAAAGTTATGAGCAGAACAAAACCAAACTCAAAAATTTGGGGCAGGAATTAGCACAAGTTCAGCACAGCACTGGGCAGCTTTGCAATGCCAACGATCTTCTTTTAGGAAAACTTGCTATTATTTCACCCCGGCTGTCTTCAGTATCATTGCTGACTCCCCAGTCAGCAGAGTCTCTTAGAGCAAGTGAGTCTGATGTACTGAATGAATCTTCTGAATTACCACAGCAAGAGCTAGGAGAGCTCAGAAAGTCACTACAGGAAAAAGATGCAACGATTAGAACTCTCCAGAAAAATAATCACAGATTGTCTGATTCACTTGCTGCCACCTCAGAGCTAGAAAGAAAAGAACATGAAAAAACCGATACAGAAATTAAGCAGCTAAAGGAGAAACAATATGTTTTGCAAAAGTTACTTAAGGGAGAAGACTTCTTAATCAAAGCCAAAAATGATCAATTACGTTCTTCCAATGAAAATTTCACTAACAAAGTAAATGAAATAGAACTTCTGAGGCAAGAGGTAAAAAACCTGAAGGACAGAATATTAATCCCAGAGATGGACACTGGCAAACTAAAAGAAGAAAATGAAAAAAATAGTAGAAACATCTAGGGAAAAGGAAACAGACTATCAAGCATTACTAGAGACTATCATGAAGTTTTCTATGATGCTGCAAGAAAAAGAGTTTGAGTGCCATTCAATGAAGAAGTCTTTCGCTTTTGAAGAGCTATTGAAAGAAAAAAAACAGAACAAGACTGGGGAGTTCATTCAGCTTGTAAATACAGTTAAATCAACGTAGAAGACACTTGTATTTCAACAAGAGAGACACCAAGTCATGTTGGCCCTGAAACAAAAACAAATGGAAAACACTACCCTACAGAATGAGGTCCAACGTTTATGTGACAATGAATTTCGGTCAAACCAGGAGCTACAGAGATTGCGTAATCATCTTCTAGAATCAGAAGATTCTTATACTTGTGAGGCTTTGGCCACAGAAGATAGAGAGGCTCAACTAAGAAAGTAAGTCACAGTATTGGAGGAAAAGCTAGTTTCACCCTCTAATGCAATGGAAAATGCAAGCCATCAAGCCAGTGTGCAGGTAGAGTCAATGCAAGAACAATTGAATGTAGTCTCCAAGCAAAGGGATGAAACTGGGCTGCAGCTTTCTGCCTCTCAGGAACAAGTAAAGCAGTATGCTCTGTCACTGGGCAACCTGCAGATGGTACTACAGCATTTCCAACAAGAGGAAAAAGCTATGTATTCTGCTGATCTGGAAAGAAAAGTGATAGCATTACAGGAACATTTGGATGTAGCAAATGCTGCACTGGATTCAGCATCAAGACTTAAAGAACAAATTGAAGAACTTAAAAAACAAAATGAGTTCCAACCAGAAATGCTGGATGATGTACAAAAGAAATCGATGAACTCAGCAAACAGTTCAGAAGGAAAAGTGGGCAAAGTCCTAATGAGAAATCTCTTCATCGGTCATTTCCACACGCTGAAAAATCAGCGTCATCAAGTGTTATGGTTGATGGGGAGCATCCTGGGTGTCAGAAGGGAGGAGACGGAGCAGTTGTTTCATGAGCATCAGGTTGGTGTTACCAGGTGGATAACCGGGTGGCTTGGAGGAGGATCACAAAGTGTTCCCAATACAACTTTGAAATCAAATCAGCAATCTGTACTTCATAGTTCTTTATCAGAACTTTTTGTTAAATTTCTAGAAACAGAATCTCATTCATCCCTTCCACCACCAAAGCTTTCTGTTCATGATATGAAACCTCTAGATTCACCGGAAAGGAGAACACTAGATACAAATGCACCATAAAGTTTTAAAGATACAGCAGAATCCAGGTCTGGTAGAAGAACAGATGTAGATCTGTTTTTGGGCCTTCACTCAGCAACTGTGCCTCTTATTAACCCAGCTGGACTTGGGTACTTGGACCTGGTGGGCCCCAACATCACCTTTTGAAACTCATCTCAGATATTTGGCCCACATTTATACCTTTGCCAGTGTTACCTGACAACAGTGCTGGAGTTGCATTGAAAGACCTTTTAAAGCAACAGAAGATTCTCAAGCCAGAGACAATCTAGCACTTCAAAGAAACCATGAACACTATATGAATGTACTTTATCACAAAATGGCCTTTTGCAAAAAGTCATGTATTTGTTTGTAGCTGTGCTTCCTCTGAATAAAAAATATTCCTAATGTTTTTAGAAATTCCAGGTGTCAGCAGCAAGTGTTTGCTATAAAATCTGCTTTATTCGTTCTGATGTGACCTAATTTAAGCTAGGAAGATTTATCTTTTATCTTAACTTACAAAAATACAGACAGACAAAAATACTAATAGCTTTTATTTCCTTCCATGATTTCCAAGCCCACTTAAGCTAGAGATTGTGGTTTATCACAAGAATTTTTTTGGTTGTTTTTTGTTTTTGTTTTTGTTTGTTTTTGTTTTTGTTTTTTTCCCATTTATTTTATTGCATTTTAGGTTTTGGGGTACATGTGAAGAACATGCAAGATTGTTGCATAGGTACACACATGGCAGTGTGATTTGCTGCCTTCCTCCCCATCACCTACATCTGGCATCTCTCCCCTTGCTATCTCTCCCCAGCTCCCCACCCCCCACGGTCCCTCCCCTATTTCCCCCCAACTGACCCGAGTGTGTAGTGCTCCCCTCCCTGTGTCCATGTGTTCTCATGTTTTTTAATGACAAAGCAGCTTCTCTGTGTTGTGTGGAAAGTTGATCTGAAGCATATATTGATCATCTTTAGAGGACTTTTTGTAAACAGGCCAACAAGATTGTCCCTGAAAGGTTATGAAAGGTTACAGGTGCCCTGAGACAAAGGTTACAGGTGGCCTGAGTATGTATTTGGTCCCTGAAAGGTTACAGGTGCCCTGAGTATGTATTTGGTCCTGTGCAATGTCATCATGTGTGTAGATTCTTTTATTATAGTTGTCTTAAATAGAGATGGAGTCTCACTATGTTTCCAGGCTGGTGTCGAACTCCTGGGCTCAACTGATCCTCCACCCTCAGCCCCACAAAGTGCTGGGATTACAAGCAAGAGCCACTGCACCCAGCCCCGTGTGTAGATTCGTGTGACTACCACCATAGTCAAGATACAAAACGCTTCCATCACAAGGATCCCTCCCGTTGCCCTCTCATAATCATAGCCACCTCTCTCCCTGTCCCTCTCCTGAATTCCTGATAACCACTAACTGCTCTCCATCTCAGTCACTTTGTTATTTCAAGAGTGTTATATAAATGGAATCAGTATGTCACCTCTTGAGACTGGCTTTTTTTCACTCAGCATAACTCCCTTGAGATCCATCCAAGTTTTTGGATGTATCACTAGTTTGTTCCTTTTTATTGTTGAAGATATAGTACAGATATATCACTTCGTTTTAACAGCTATTTAAATATATCATCTTAAAATTAAATGTGTCTTTATACAAATTCATACAACTTTCATGTAAGTGTTAAATCATACAGCTGCATATACATAAGTATAATTAGCAATATCACTGAACATGCCACTTCCTGGCATATGAGGTACAGCAATCCGAGAGTTAACTGTTCTCATCGCAGTGGCCACTGAGGGCAATGAACTGTTTGATAGCACCAATACCCAGATGTCTGAAACTTCGGAGAGTATTTCTTTAATTTTTTATAAACCCATCGTAAAAAAATCCTGACTTGAAACTTAACTGTATCTGAATGTTCATACTTTCATTAGTTGAATTTGTACATTTAGAAAGACATTTCTTGCAAATTCTGTAAATTTCTATGTGCCTTTAAAATAATAATATTAATTAACAAAGAAAGGTGAAAATGAGACAAATTCAAATATGTTAAGAGGCCTGGCTCAGGCGAGAACTAAATTTGGTTGTTTGCAAGTTTTGCTGTGATTAACTGTACTTTCTAATGTATTTGGAAGACTGGAAGTCTTCATTACATGTTGATGGGTGAAACTTGTTTTTCTGAAAAATGAAGTAACTGAGAATGCTGCTTCAGAATGTCTCTATCTCCTTGGATAACTAATTTATATTGCCATGCTTTATTTAGTATACTTTAAAGAAAGTAGTCATACAAGTTCTATATTAGAACTGTCAAACTGCCTCCTCTTGGTTTTTTGCCCATTATTATTTCTCTATGAGTTGTTTTCCCTTGTTGTTTTGGGTTTTGTTTTGCTTAGTTTTGCTTTGTTTCGAGATGGAGTTTCGCTCTTGCAGACCAGGCTGGAGTGCAATGGCGCCATCCAGGCTCACTGCTACCTCCGCCTCCCCAATTCAAGTGAATCTCTTGCCTCAGCCTCCCAAGTAGATGGGATTATAGGTACGTGCCACCATGCCAGGCTAACTTTTGTATTTTTACTAGAGACAGGGTTTCACCATGTTGGCCAGGCTGGTCTCGATCTCCTGACCTCAGGTTATCCACCTGCCTTGGCCTCCCAAAGTGCTGGGATTACAGGAGTGAGCCACCACACCCAGCCTACTCCTTGACTCCTAATAAAAATACCTTCACTGACTATTCTACATTATTTGCTGCTTGCCATTGAAGTTTCATTTCAGTGTGGAGCGAATGAAATACTAGTTTCTAAGTTAAAAAACACACATGGTCCTTTATTTTTAAGAAATAGAATATGTAAAAAGTTTTTAATTTGACAAAGATATGCATGATTGGTATTTAGGTAGTATGTCATCACATTTGAAATGCCTTTTTTGACTTTTTTAGTATTTCCCTCTCTGACCAAATCAGCCTGTCCCCCTCTCATCCCATAGTTTAACACAAGTTTAAAAGCTATTGTGGGTGGATTACATAGCTAGACATCACAGAGCTTGGTATTAAATGGTTTCTATATAAATAAGTTTATGATCTTATCCTAAATCTATAGTACCTAATGTTTTCATTGTGTCATTGAAACTATAGCTGACTGGTATGCATAGTAAGTGTTCCTTGATCTAAACCATAGAAAACACATCCACTTTTCTGAAACTTAGTTGTGTCAGGGATGAACCACCTGCTCACTGAACCGTCTTAGTAAGCAGACAGTGATGAAGCATACAATTCTAACGCTGGCAATAGGACATTGCTAACAGTGCGTTTAACTGCAATATTTTAACTACAGTAATATTTCTATTTATTGGTTGAATTCCAATCTCTCTGCCATAGTTCTTCACCACGTTCCTAATGGTTTTCAACCTCTCTACTGTAGTAGAAAATGCACACAGCCATTGAATTTAAACACTATTTTACCATAATAGGAGATCAAATTGTCTGAATTTTCATTCCTGCCATTCTTGACTTTTAACAAATGAAAGGAAGAAAAAACAAAACTAAGCAACAAAACTCTAGGAAAAAAAGAAATGACTTCTTTGCAATTAGCCAATTAAAACGTCCAATAATATTCCCCCAAATAAAGCCTTTGGTTTCTTTTTACCTCTTAAAGGTTAATTGAAAACAGTAGAGAAACTATCAAAATACTTATCCAATCAGATTGGGGGGAAGCTATGTTTTCAGGGACAGGAGAGTAATGAGAATTATTTAGAAAACACTATTATGCATCAAACTTAAAAGCATTTGAGCCTGATTTTTTAAAGATAATGAAGTTTCCCACATAGCAAAGTATTTAAAACCTCTTCCATCAACAAAAATTTATCTTTAATTTTGTAAATATAAAGTATAGATGATATATATTTTATATATTCCTATAAAAAAATGCTACTTTAATGTTCTGACATTTGTGATTATTTGGCAGTCTTCACTTTTTAACTTATTAAAAAGTTAAATACTTATTAAGTTTTATCTATGTAAAACTGATCAATTGTCTTTTGATTTTTAGGGAAATACCTAAATGTGGGAAATTTCCAACCCAACCTTAATATTAGATTGTGTTTTTTATAAAGTTAATGCATTTGTGAATTTCTCAGGAGCACTGCAAGGTGAAAAAATGCTCCAAATAAAAATGACATATGTAAGTTAGCAATGTCTTCATTCACAAGAAAAAAAAAATTTTTAGCAAACAAAAAAAGAATTGTTGACATAGCTACCTACTATATGCCAAGAACTGTTCTAAATACATTGCACATATTCAGTCATCTCTTTCTTCCAACCATCATTGCTACCATTGCAAAATGAGGAACCTCAGAGAGGTCAAGTAACAGCTCAAACACACAGCTGGTGAGTGGCCCAGCCAGCACTCAGTGGCCTGGTTCTAAAGCCTGCACTTAGCTGCTATTCTAGACGGCGTCTGATTTTCTCCTAGAATTTATAGACAGATATACATGATAGATAGATGGATAAAGATGGGAGAGAGGCTTTTTCTCCACTCCTGACTTTTTTTACAGTCTTTCCCCTCTTAATTGTGGGGAATACGTTCCTGTGGATGGTACCAAACTCTATATATGCAGCACTATGTTTTTTCATATATATGTGTGTGTATGTACATATATATATATATACCTAAGATGAAGTTTAATTTACAAATTTGGCACAGTTTAAGAGATTAACCACAATAACTAAAAGTACAATTGAACAATTATAAAATATACTATAATAAGGGTTGTGTGAATGTGGCATCTCTCCTCTCTCTCTCTCTCAAGATACCTTCTTGCTCTGCACTCACCCTTTTCATGAAGGCATGAGATGATAAAATGCCTAATGATGAGATGAAGTAAGGCGAATGACGCAGACATCGTGATGTGGCCTTAGACTGCTATTGACCTTCTGACCATATATCAAATACGAATCATTTCTTCCTGGAACTGTGGTTGTTGTAAGTGAAACCGTGGAAAGCAAACCCACGGATAAGGGGGGCTCCCTGTACCTATGGAGTAGAGCTCCACAGTCACAATTGGCCTCTGCCTCCCACTCCTAATGGTGGAGTAGCCTCCACCATGGCCTCCTCACGAGCTCCTCCAGGGAAAGGAAAAGTGTGTTGTTTATTCATTTATCCCTGCCCCCCTCCAAGTCCATTCTCCGTTCTTTCTCTGATCCTGGAAGGCTCACCCCTGGGGACTGCATCTCCTGGGCTCCCCTGACCTCCGGCTTTCTGGGGGCACAGTCAATGTGGAAGCACCACAGAGACCAGAGGGTGAGAAGTACAGTTTCTGCGTCCCCCCCGTGGCGGTGGATCTTACCCTGTAGGACTTTCCTTGGCCACAGCCTCTCCAAACCTCCTCGAATTCTTACGAGAGGTGAATCTTCCGGCCGTTGGTAGTCTTAGGGTGTCACCATTGTTTGCTCCTTAATTCTGCCCAGGCCTCTGGAATTCCACCATCTCTTCTCTTGGATCTGCCGCGAGGCTGGTGCCCTGGCGCTGAGGCCGCATGTACTGGAGGAAAACGGCGGCGGTACCTGAGGAAGATGGCGGCGTGTCCCGGCGAGGGACCTCGGAGCGCAGGGCGGGCGGTGCACAGCTCGAGCGGGCCCAGTTCCTCGGAGCTGTAAAGTTCCGGCTGGAGCCTGGAGCCCGCCCCGTCGAGCAAGCGCTGCGCTAGGCTCAGAGCCGAAGCCGCGCGACGACCCGGCTCCCATCCCGCCGCCTCCGCCTCCAGCAAACACAGCTGCAGGAAGTAGGTGGCAAGTAGCATCACCTGGGAGCTGCTCCCTGCCAGCGCGGCCAGCAGCTGCCCTGGTGGTGCAGCCGGAAATGGGCGGCTCGGGATGCGGCTCTCGGCGTGCAGCAGCTCCGCCCGCGGGAAGGAGTCCGCGCTCAGGGAGCAGAGGCAGGTGGGCTGCAGATGGGGCTTGCAGGGTGGGGGTGAAGGAGTCTTGGATCCCGGCTCTCTACTCCCTGCCCTGGAACGGCCCAAGTTCCAGACCTCAGTTTCCCCGGGAAGAACGCACTCTTCCATTTTGCACGCCGCAAACGGGCAGGCCACGCCCAGAAGCTGCAGGCGACCTGAGCGCACGCGACTGGCGCTCAGGTAGGAATCAGGCAGGTGCACCGCTCGGTCAAGTATGTCACCGCCAGACCCAGGTAGTCTGAACCAGGGCGCGCATCTCCGGGGTCACAGCTCAGGGCAGGGCTCTCCGGGGCAGCATGAGGCACACCATGACTTCTGCGAAGATGTACCTGGCGTACTGGCGTTCTCCCTGCAGCCCGCCTCTCCAGGAGTCTTGAGGAGACACTGGGGCGCTCGGAGGCTCTGCATCGAGGGAGGCAGCAGGACCCTACAAAGGAAAGGGGCTGGGGGCTTAGGGCCTAAAGAGAGGCCAGAGACGGGAGACGGGCCCCTGGCCCCTGCCTCTCACCGGCATCCTCCAGGAGGGCGTCGCGGGCGAGGCCAAGATCTACCCCACCAGCTCTTCACACTCTCAAGAGGTTCAGACTTAGGATGGGAAGATGACTATTTTAGTCAGACCCTATTTTTTCCAAGAAATCCCTTTGTGGGAAGGCAGAGCCAATCTACGGGTCGAATCTACAGGTAATGCTTCTCTTTCCCCTGCACCCCCACCCCCGCCACCGCCTGAAATCACACAAGAATAAAGAGGGCTTTCCCTGACTTTGCAAAGACCCCCTCCTCAAGCCTTCTCACTGCCACTGAGCACCAGCTGCACACTCTGGCCAGGGGCAACATGAAGCCTTGAGCATAAAACCCTTAAGAGGCCTTCCATGCCCCAGAAATGGCCAGAAGGAGCACCTGGCCCTCTGCCTGGGCCCCTGTTCCCAGTAGCTCCTGCTCCCAGGTGTGGTGCCCCCCAAAACCCTTACCCTACATCTGTGAGGGGAGTCAGAGGTAGGTGAAATTCTGAAAAGAGCCTGGATTTCCCAGGCTGCCTCAGTGAAGTTAAAAGTCAGGCCAAGACTATCAAGTGAGAAAAGCAAATGCCCCCTCACCAGGAAAGGGACCAGGCCCAGAGGCTCAGTTTCCTCATTTTGCAATGGCAGCAATGGTGGTTAGGAGTATTAAACAACAGCTTGAGTTGTTCTGTCCCACAACCCAAGTCCTCACTTCTACACTCTCTCCCGTCACCCCACCACACCCCTAAATGTTTTCTGCTTGATTCTCTGAGGACCTGCTGGAATCCCAAGGCGCTCAGGCAGAGCAGATGGAAAAGTGTGGCTGCTCCAGGGGTATGCACTTTCTACATAGTAGAATCCTAGAGAGGCATCCCCAAATAGGGGCGTTAATGAGGAATTTCAGGCAGTGGATCGGGCAGGAGTATCAGACCCTAATCAACTTTCTCTTGCATTCAAAGCGGGTTAGCCAGGGTCAGCCAGGTCATTGCCTGTGGCTGCTTCTGCAGAGAAGCTTCTCTGACACCCAGCCACACCAGATGGAGAACCAGTCACTGAGAAGTGAAATTGGGTCCAATCCTTCCCCCTCTCCCCAGCTCAGCTAAGGCCCTCAGGTAGTTGCTGTCAATAGCCTCTGTGCGGTGGTAAACAGCCCTAGGCCTAGAGCGTAGAAGTCCTGTGTTCTGTTCCTGTCTCCTAATGATGTTTGGCAAGATACTAAGCTTCTCTGGACTTTACGTCATGATTAGCAAGATGAAGTTTAGTTGGATTAGATGGCTCTCAGGTCCCTACAACTCCACTATGCTAT